GAAAAACTGGTTTTCCAGAAAATTGGATCTTTAAGAGTCATGGGCCCGAATCCTTTTAGAGTATTTACTACCTCACTGAGGTCTATCGATCCATGTACAAAGCATTTGAATCGGAAGTAGGCATCTCGGGAGGTTCCCTCGTTAGCAATAAAGTTCTTTCACAAAATCTGAAGATAATTTGTATCGTTCTAACATTAGATTTAAAAATCATATGACGGATTTACAATTTATTGAAATAACGAATCGTTGGATAAGTGAAACTCAAGTTAAAATAAAATGTGAAGTGGCTACTAATAATCATCAAGCAGCACGTTTAAAAAATATGATTTATTCACATCGAGATAAAATTGATTCTATACTCAATCCAAATCTAGACAAACAGGTTGGAAATAACTTTTATTTTTTGTCACATTACACGACTTTTGACTGATTTGCCTATGTATTGTTGTTTAGACATCCAATTCAAATGAAGTATTTAGTTTATTTCGCGATATTGTTCTATTAACTTATGAGCGTGCACTCTATTTAAAATGTATGAATAGTGAACTGATGATACCAGCAACATTAATTCAAACATTGAAACATAATGGATTTCTAAATGAAGGTAAATTTGAGTAGTTTGATATAAAATTAAAATTGTTTAAGACATTTTTACTTCTTTGATTAATAGAAGAATTATTAAACGATTTACAACGTGAGAAAATCCACGAACAAAGTGCAAATACTCTGACAGCATCAACATTGAGTCGTCGTACAAGTCATGTCAGCGGTGTTAGTAACGATAATGAAAATAAATCAGTTAAATTTGCCGCTACACCTTCACATAAATCATCACCACAAAATATTCAACAACAACAAGATGATCAGACAATTTCAACAATAAAAATGCTACTTCAGTGAGTGAATATACTACCCATTTAGTCAAAATCGGCAATAAAACGGCGATTTTTTAGCGATGTTACATGTTAATAGCAATTAATCGGCGAGTTTTTAGGTTAACAGTTAACTGGACTTCTCGGTTCAAAGCTAACTCAAACAATGAACCTGAAACAATGAGCAGCTCTGAGGAAACTACAGAGGACACTCTTGGCAAGCTAAACTAAAAAGATAATCTGAAAAGATGAACATTTCTCGTTGAAATCGTGTTTCTTATATACTTACTTCACTACAGAATAAAACGGTGAATAATAAAAAACCATTTAATGGCTTCAAATCAACAATTAATTGCAATTAATTGACCATTATTAAAAAAACAGAAAAATTACCAGGATCGCTAATTAATCATAATTAATTTGCGATGTTTTTAAGAATGGCGATATATTGGTGGTTTTTAATAACTGGCGATTTTTCACGTAGGCCGATTAATCATTAGTTGTTAAAAATCGCCGATATATCGTAATTATAGTCAAAATTGCGATTAATTGGCGATTTTATCGCTAATCGCAAGTAATCGTCTAAAATGGAGCGATCTTAACGACATGGATGGGTATATATCGGAAAGATTTAAAGTGGATGATCTCTTCTCTTTTTTTTCTAGCACAAATGAAAAACAAGACACATCAGATGAAATTGTTGATCCATCATGTATGTAAGCTTGTTAACTTACAATGTTTCAATAGTCATACCAATTATCATATGAACTTTTCTGGTAGATGTTTTTAAACATCAAACAAATTTGATAGACATACGTCATGCGCATTTGTATAATTGTTACAGCTAAGTTTTTAAATTTTTTCCTTAAAGCATATCGTCAAATTGCTGTCAGTTCATCAACAAGTTCTACTGGAACAAAAGCATCGTCAAAAAAATCATTATCAGCTGCTAAAAAACGTAAAGATGAAAGTGTTCAAGATCAAACACAATCTGAACAAACGCAACCTGTAAATGGTGTGAATAAATCGATAAAGAACACACAACAACAACAACAACAGCAACAACAACAAAGAGTGTAGGTGTTTAAACAAAACTCAGTTATTTTTCAGTAATAAATAAAATTAAGATTCGAATGCTTTAGTTTGGAAGAAGATGGTTCTAAAACGATTGTTCATAGAGAAAGGTTAATAAAGTAACCATTTCTTCACTGAAAGACTTTTCGATTATATACCAATATATTTTTATAGTTTTTAACTAACAATTACAGATGCATCCAGTAGGATGAGAACTGTTTATTTTTCTTCCACTTTTACATTGAGTAAACACACGAACACGATTTGCTGATATTGTGAACACAAGGAAGCTTTTCGGTAAAATACGAGAATCAAAATAATTTTAATAGGTTTACTTCGCGGTTTTATGAACCACAGTGTCACTACTAACATGCACATTATCGAATGAATTAAGAATTTTGTTTTATTTCGTTGAATAATTTTTTAATAATTTTTTCAGACGTATTAAAACCCGTGATGAAATTTATGCCCTGTATTGTACGTTTGGCGAAAAGAAACATGTTGGTCAAGATTTTACGTCAAAAATTTTGAATATTTTACGAGACTCATTAGAAGGGATTCTTTCACATTCAGAGGTATATGTGTTTATCATCATACTCCTGAATAGACTTAGCTATTTTTTATTTATCTTTAGCTTTACTATCGTGATAAAGGTTCTCGACCAGTAACTCGACCACAAGCTATATCGGAAAGATTTGAAGAGTATGCGCAAATTATGATTGAAAAATTAAAAAATTACGAAGAGCAATGTTGTACACATCACAATCTTTCATTAAGAGGTAGTATTTCTGCTAATACAAACTTAACTTAATGACATATCCTTGCATTTTTAGAATTTCGTGATTTATTAGAATTATTTGAAAAAACATCAGCCAATATGCCAAAAATTGTTTTAGAACAAATGTTAAGAGATGCTGTGAATCAAATTCAGTCTAAAAAACAACAATTCGATCAACATCTCAACGAAAATTTAACACAATTTCAACAACAAAAAGTAGGATCGTTTAGTGGATACTAGAAACAATTGGTACTTTATAGCGTGTCATTTTTTAAACTAGGATAAACATTTTGACAAATTACGTCCGACTCTGGGTCATCCATCACGTAAAAACGATTTGAATGAATTGAATAATGAAGAAAAACAACGGCAAGAAAAGTTGGAACATTTCAACAAAGATTTACGAACAAAAACAATGGTAAATAAGAGAAGCTATAGACCACAGATATGTTCATATTATATCTCGTATATAAATATCTGTAGGATGATCTTTACAATGATGCACAAGCAATATTTGAAACATTAGCTCGAAATTCTGAGCAATTATTTATTTTATTTGATGATTTGTTAACAGTAGATGATGTACATAGATTTAGTAAGTATGTGAAATTTAATCAGAATTGGTCAAATCTAGCATTCTTCCTATTAAACCTTGCTATATTTAGAGTTACCATCTCCCAAACAAGTTCTACCCGAATTGATTCGTCGTCAACAAGCCGGTTTGCCATTGGACGATCCGGAACCTGGTCCACTTATTGAACGAAAACAAGGAATTTGGCCGGGTAGTTAATATGAAATTGTAAAGAATAAAATCTTTATTTTTCTAATGTTTAGGAATATCACTTAATGAGCTGATACCTATTGAACGTGTTCAAACTACAGCACAAAAGAGAGATCCATCGCAAAAATCGTCGACAAAAATTAAGTCTTCCGATACCGAAACACTAGCTGAACAACAACAACAACAACAAACCCACAATTCACAGCAAGATCAAGGTGATAACACTTTGAAAACATCTACTACCACTGAAAAAAAACGTGTATCAATAAGTCAGGGACAAGTTCAACGACGAGGAAAAGAGCAAACAGTGTCAGCAACGGTGATTACTCAAAAAACAACACTACCACATATCCAAACACAAAAAGAAAGAGATAAAACATACGACGTATGTATTCGAAGTGATCTTCGAGTTTTAAATCTACGCAACTAAACGATGTTCTTGTGTTTCTAGCGTTTCAAAAGTGAATTTTCCGCAAATTTGAAAAATGTTGAAAATAAATGTGACGAAAGCATTAAAGACCTCGAACGTCATCGAAAATACTGGGCTCAAGTGCTTGGTACTCTTCAACAGTTGCATTGTTAAACTTAATTTTGTATTTTTTTACTTTTGCGTTTTTTGATGTCGCTTTAATTTGAAAGTTGAATTTTTTTTGTAAGTAAGCTCACAATTAATGAGTGTTTGATATTAGCTTGTTCAAAATGTTTCACACGACCTGGATGTATTCTAATTCAATGGATCGCTAAATATCACAGAGCTTCTGTGGTTGAAATGAGCTAATCCGTCGATAAAATATTCAAACAGTATATTTCATCCAAGAAAATAGTGAGTTTTTCAATCATCTAAATCGAAGTTACATAATTTTAGCTAATACTGTTATTTTTACCGAAAAGGTACTTTACGCACAAATTTCAACACAGTATTTGTATAGTTACGGTTAGTTTTATGAGAAATGTCGATTTTGGGGTCCTATCTTGAATTTTTCAATCACCTAACCTAAACAGATTCTGCTTTCAAACATATATTCTGAAAGAAAAAACATTTTTGCATATTCTGAACTTCTTTTGTAGCTATAAAAAACATTTTTAGTATGGATTATCGAATAAAATTTGTAGAATACTTTCTGGTAGTCGGAATTTAGGAAAACTCGCTTTTCTCAAAAATCAACCTTGTTCAATTCTGAAGGTAATATTCGTAATTAAAATGTTTTACACGACCTGGACGTATTCTAATTCAAGGGCCTGCTAAATATCACAGATCTTCTGTTGTTGGAATTAGCTAATCCATCAATAGTAAAAAAAGGATTTTCTGTCAAGGCCGGTCGAGGCGTGGCATAGTAGCTGGTTACAGGACAAATTGTCAGTCACATCTCACATAACTTCAGTAATTACTTGATAGTGAAAAGCGATAGAAACGTCGGATTTTCGCTGTTATCTATTCTATAGTTAGTCAAATTGTGGCATATAAATAGAAAGGAAACTGAATAATTTACCAAAACTATCCAAGATCATGTAGTTACGGAACAGAAAAAAGATTTTTTCGGAACCACGATTTGTGACCAGAGTAGTGAAAAAAAACAGGAAAATCGGGAACAAAGATAATGATAGCTGAGCAGAGCGAAGAAACTTCTATAAGAAAAAGAGTAAAAAATATTGTTCTACATAAAATAACAACGAAAATAGCATTTACAAAACAAAAATATTTGGATCAACAGACAGACAACATCAAAATAACGGTCAATTATCGATGTTTTGTCTATAACCCGTTCACGATTAAACATAGAAAAGTCGTAGTTGCAGCGATTATACGCCAAACGTTAATGAATATATGCGAGAAACATAGGTAATCGTCCACGTTGAATCTCATGGCAATATTTGTTTTCCAAAAAATCAAAACCTAGTGAAAACCTATATTAGGTGAAATAACCCATTTATTGGCTATTTTTGAGTAAAGTTTCAGGAGATCCGAAGTGATTTTTGAAAGTTCTCCTAGAAAACCGGTCTTCCGATTGGTTTCGGAATAGGATTTGGCTTATGAAAACATAGGCTAAACTATCGTCTTTCGATTGTGGAAAATCGCAGTAGTGATTTATTTTGTGTGATTATTTTTGCATTTCTCTTCTTCTATCAGAAATAACCGCCAATGATGTAGCAAGTCTTTTTGAACAATTTGCAGATATTTAAATTATGTAGCTATTCTAAGGGAATTTGAGCATCGGTAAATGCAACAATATCGGACAGTACTAGTTTTATTCATCCGGCGCCGCCCTGCACTCCGTTGTTCGATGCATTGTGAAATACTCAAAAAAGCACAGCATGTTCTTCAAATATTTAAGAGTGTTGTGTGAATTTTGAATGGCTATTAACTGAATGTGATTTTTTTGCGATTCATTTGTTCTTACCAGAACTGGTCATAAGACGGAGGACTAAGTGACGGTGTCATTCACCTATTGGCCATAGTATTCCTTTTGCAAACATAAAGCAGTCGTCGTTGAAAACTTATTTAGTCTACGATTTAATACCGAAAGACTTAGAGACGAGGTCTATGAGCTATTTCTCTTCACTCAGTTTTGAAAGCCATATTATCTTCAGTCTGTGATTGTTAAAATTAATACCTCTTCTCTAGTGTGAAATTATTTCCATAGGTATATATGACATGATCCAGAGGTGATTCTGGAGCTGGAAAAGCATGTTCTTCTAAAACAACTTTGGTTCTAAATGAAATATGAATGGGTTTGTTTTTAACTCCTAAATAGGGTATGTACCATCCTTCAGATTTCGCTTCAGGATTTAAACGATACATGTCCGTATAGGGAGCAGTGTAAGGCTTCATTTTTTTGCTGTTGTTCAATGTTGACATAATTTTAGCATCGGGATGATTTCGATGTGGACAAAGACGATAAACTTCATGATGAAATAGAAAATACCCATACAACCATATATCTTGTTTAGTCTCTGCCAAATGAAGCTTGTTATCGTAAACATCGTTTATCACAGCTAAATCTAGATCGCCGGTCCATGGTATAATGGATTTATTTCTCATTGCTCCTAATAGACTGCCGTAAATAAGTACATAGTTCCATTTTTTCATAGTGAAATAAGCGTTGATGAATAGCAACATTTTTTTAAGAATGTAGGCACAACAAGATGAATTTGATGATTGACATTCTCGAGACATTGTACAGTCTAATGGCGCACAATACCGCCACAATGGCGCTTTTGTTAAATTTGTAATTGGATAAGACGACAAAGAAGAGTTAATTTGTGGAAAGTCTGTTAATAGCGGTAAGAGAATCGTACCATTGATAGTGTGATCTTCCATCAAACGAAATACATCAAACTTCTTATGCATAAAATAAAAAAAGGAAAGATGAATTAATAAAAATAAAATATGCCGGTGTAATAGTAAATGCTTATGTGAAAAAAATTCACCATTATTTTCCAAACTCGATATAGACGGTTAGATAAACAAAATGCTGTACTAAGATTAGCTATCATTATTCATAATACATACTCGATGATAGTTTCCGAGATAGCCACGAATATCATTACTATTATAAATATTGTTAATAAATATTTATAAATGGGAAGTTGTCGTTTGAAAGGAAATAGTTTTGACATGATATTTGGTAGAAAAAAACGATCGAAGAAGTCTAAATCACTTCAGGTTTGAATAATTAAAGTAAAGAATTTAAACTGATGAATTGAGACATTATTAATAGAAGCTTTTATTTCCTTGAAATTAACAATCTGTAACACGTCTTTAATGTTAAATGCCGCAGCTGTCACGTGTTAGGGGCGAGCTGCCTAAAAACTTAAATAAAGCTAATAAATTATATAATAAAAAAAAATATGTACTTTTTAACATCCTATTATCGGTTCAGTACATTTTTGATTCTAAGTATAACCTTGACAATCAGGTTAAAGAACTTGAAAAATCGAGTTTAGAAGCCGCTAACACTGCAATACCTCATAAAATAATAAGAGTGAGAAATGGAGACCAGCCTTGGTTTTCGGATAAGTTGTGTACACTTTTAAAGAAAGGGAATCGAACATATCGTAAATACGTTAAAATTAAATCTACCGTCAGTCATCATAAGTATATTTTGTTAGCAGCAGAATTTGAACAAGTTTGTAAAGAATCTAAATCAGATTATATTGAGCGCATCAACAATACTCAGAGTTCAAAAAAACAATGGTGGAATGCTATTAAGTTCTCGTTAGGAAGAAAAAAACGTTCTTCTGTTCCACCTATAAAAAACTTAACCGAAAATTGGTTAAATGAAGACTGTAAAAAAGCAGATGTTTTAAATTTGTACTTTGCATCTATTTGTGCGTTGTCGTCTTTAGATGATCAGAACTCTATGCCTAAACTGACATTGCATGTTAAGTCGCTTTCTTCTACTACTGTGTCTCCTGGTGAAGTAGATAATATTTTGAAGTGTCTTGATGTAAACAAGGCTAGTAGTCCTGGTGTAACTCCTAGACTGCTAAAAGAATCAGCGCTTATAATATCTACTTATCTAGCTCAGATGATCAACCAGTCTCTTAACATTGGAATTTACACAGAATCATTCAAGACAGGATATGTAAATACACTATTTAAGGACGGTGATGCTTCAAATCCATCCAGCTACAGGCCAATCACACTTTTGCCAATTCTAAGCAAAGTGTTTGAGAGGGTAGTGCATACAAATTTATATCAGTATTTGCAAAAAAACAATTTATTGTCTTCCATGCAGTCTGGATTTATAAGAGGTGACTCAAGTGTAAATCAACTGATAGATCTCGTTCATACTATTAATCTAGGTAATAATCAAAATTTAGTCACTCGTGCTGCTTTTTTGGATTTCTCTAAAGCTTTTGATCGTGTGTGGATTAGGGCACTGCTGTATAAGCTTGAGTGTAAAGGAATTAAGGATTCGTTGCTTCAGTGGTTTCCTAGTTACTTAACCAATAGGAAGATCATAACTGTGATTAATGGGAAAGAGTCTAGTGCGCTGCCGATAAGTCGAGGTGTACCGCAAGGCTCTGTGTTAGGCTCCTTACTTTTCTTAGTGTATATTGATGACATTGGACTCAGTTTAACGTCGACCACGAGACTTTTTGCTGATGATACAGTGGTACATCATTCTCATGAGAACGTGGATGTACTCACAGATGTATTAAATGAAGATCTAAAAAAAGTCTACTAGTCTAAAAAGTCTGTACGATTGGTCTGTTGCTTGGCAGATGCCGTTGAACGAAAATAAATGCGAAAGCATGACTTTTAACCATAAACGGAACACACTTACGCCCGATCTCTTTATTAGTAAAACAGTACTGAAAGAAGTTCCCGAGCTCAAGCATCTGGGAGTGATTCTAACACAAAAATTAAACTGGAAAGTTCATGAAAGATATGTGCTGAGTAAATGTAATAAAATTGTAAACCTAATGAAGACGTTTAAAAAAATATTCAGCACCTCTACACTAAACCAAATATACAAACCTTTTGTTTTCCCCATACTAACTTACGCGTGTACCGTCTACATAAATAAACATAACATTCATATATTCGATCACCTGCAGTATCATGCTAGTCTAATTGTTTCTGGTGCATTTCATTTAAGTAATAAACCGAAAGTTATGGAAGTTCTTGGATGGGTGGAATTACATGCGTCATTTGAAGTGTTCAAATTAAAGCTAATGCATAAGGCCATTACCAGGCAAGCTCCGCACTTTTTATGTAAACATATAAAATTCGCAGTAAATTGTTTTTATAGTACGCGATCAAACGAGTTAAATCTGATTCAACCGATCTATGGAAAAACTGAAACGTTTTTGTCTTCCTTTTTTCCATATACAATTAAGATATGGAACATTCTCCCCCCCGCAGCTGAAGAAAGTTATTACATGTAAAGCGTTTGCAAAAGATTTGTTATAACATTTTAAACTTGTTAAAACCATATCGCCTGTAAAGGGAGTAAACAGAAGGACAGATATAGCTCTTAATCAGATGAGAGTGGACTTTTCGGTTTTGAACAACGATCTGTTTAAACGACATCTGGTTTCTAATGAGGAGTTTTGCGAGTGTGGCAACTCCGAGACGGTAAAACATTATTTTCTTTCTTGTCATAGCTATCGTTTGGCAAGAGCAAATCTGTTTAAACAAATAAAACTACATGATCCGAACTGTGAGATTGACCTAAACTTACTACTACTACAAAAGAATCTAGATTTCGAATTGTATAAAGATCTTTATAAGCTTATAATACAATATGTAATTGAGATTCTAACTGTAACATTCCACCAACCTTCCTTCTTTTCAATGCTCATTCTCTTAACCTTTTCTTTTTTCATTTTTTCTTCTGGTTATGCATTTAATGTACGGTTAGGGAAACATCATGTTAAACAACTCTCCAACTACGTAATGCTTCGGCGCATTAGAAGTTGTTAGGTATATTCACTTCTGAATAAAAACAGCTTAAACCAAAAAAAAAATAAAGAGCACAACGTACTCACTTCAGTACTATTACAGTATCAGTTAAGTACACAATACAAGTATACTACTTGAAGAAAGGGAGGGAAGTGACAATAAGAAGAGCAAGAAAGGCAAATGTAATGTAAAATACATTTATAATACTGAAAACGGGAGGATAATCTCTCTACACTGGAGATTGATCAATGCACGTTCTTTTTACAAACATAAATCCAGATTCGGTGCCATAAGCTACACAAGTGGAAGAAATGTGTTTTGAACTTAATAATTAATACTGGTAATTATTGTTAAGTTTTTGTCCGGCACACAAGAAAAAGTGATACCATTACTATACGTAGTACTCACCGACGATTCATTATTTATCTTAGCTATTTTTTCTTGTCGTTTTCTTCAGATTAATTAAATAACAAAAACAATTGAAAAACGGAAGCTATTCTTGTTTCATCCACAGTAATTAAATTATTATCGTTTCCTCGATACTAATTTATTACTCGATTCACCGACACCTTTTTTAACTTGATTCGTCGACAAG